TGGATATACATATACATATATGTATATATATGTGTGTGTGTGTGTGTGTGTATATATATATATATATATATATATATATATATATATATATATATATATATATATATATATATATTTGATACATCTCCATCTCTGCATCTATACTTGTGTGTGTGTTCCAAATAGATGTCATGTAAGTATCCGTAGTAACGTCCTATACAGGACAGCATTTCATCTTCTTGGCCCATTTCTGCCATAAGTTTGTCACGCTTTTCCATCTAGTAGTGTTGTTCGCCATGTGTCTTTAACCTAAATTAGTCCTGAATAAGATGAACAATCATGCAGATTATTCATGTATCATGTTAAAGGATGTGTTTGAGCTTGCACCTGTCCCTTTGGTTATTGGCAGGGAGCGAAAGTGTAGCTCCAGTGATACCCATCGCAAACAACGACCCTTCTGCAAGATTTCATGGCAAGCCGATTCTTATGATTTCCTCCGTCAACCACTACATGTAGAATTATCTTGATATGATGTAGGTGATTCCTTTTTATCTGAATATCATGTACATCATCTTCAGTCTGTTGTGGCATATACATCACATTATACATACACAGACACTGTTACACATACCGTATCATCATGTGTTTTGTAATTGCAAGTTAATTCCTGACTATTAATATTGTTTCTTTTCTCAAGAAATGTTATCGTAAAAACTGAAATAACTCCATACATTTTGATAATTCTATGCAATTATAATACTTCGCATTATGTAAGAGTTTCCCTTTCTTCAATATGAATAAATAAAAAAAATCCAGGTTTAAATTTGTTAATTTTAGTTAAAGTATAGATATAGATATAATACATGCCCACACACACAGTTACTGTATTAAACCGAGTCAACACGTCATACATATGTTATTCATAATTACATATACAAATTCATATAACATATAAATCACATACACACGCAATTACTGCATTTATGCGTTATTACTGTGCCCGGTATTGAAGAGATGTACCCATCTCTTGATTGTATCAGCGGTTGCCGGAAAAGTATCAAATATGATATGCTTATTTTCATTTCCAAATGATAATTAGATGAAGCATAGATAATCAATACTAGACTATACATGCATAGATACATCAGTGCTTGTCTTTATTGATGTCTTTTCTTTTTTCTTGCATTTCTTCATTTGACGGTGAAATCTATGCTATCTTGCGATCCCAGTTCAGATCTTGCGTCATCAAGATCTACTCTTTCATCAGGATTACCGACTCTCTGCATTTTCCCGAGGGATCCGCTGGCGCTCACGAAGGTCAGTGGGAGGAGCTGTGCCTCGGTCAGCGGACATATAAGGCTGACTAACAACACTCCAGCAACAGTTCCCAGTCTCTCGATACTAGATTCTTCTGAACAATGTATTCTCTCATTTTGTCTGGTGAGTGTAAATTTTATGAATTCCTATCACTATGCCAAATCCAATCATGAGATTAATTGACAGTTTTTTAATTATTAATTTTTCACCAGCTTTATTATTGTTTCCAATATGTTGCTATAACAACACTATTATCAATGACAAAGAGTTGCTTTACTTTTTATTTTCGACAGCCGTTCTCTGCGTCGTTGTGGCAGACACTCACAATGGCTTCGGAGCGCACCCTCCTCCCACCAACGGCTATGCGCCCCAAGTAACACTATGGCACGCCCAACGGCGCTACGGAGTAGACCCTGAGATCGCCGCTTTGGCCGAGAACATTCCAGGGGGCGGCGTCCCCGGCGAGGACTACCCCATCTTGGCTTCCGTGCCCGACACCGGATTCTCCTGCGATGCCCAGGCGGTGCAAGGTTATTACGCCGACACTGCAGCTGAAGCCGGCTGCCAGGTGTTCCATATCTGCCAGGACCGCGCCCTCAGGCGCCAACAGGACTCCTTCCTGTGCCCCAACGGTACCATCTTCAACCAGCAGTACCTGGTATGTGACTGGTGGTTCAACGTGGACTGTTCTCAAGCTGAGAGCTTCTACTCCGTCAACGAGCTCATCGGAGTCGTTCCCAGTGCTGGCTATGCTTATGCTGCCGCCGCCAATGGTCTTGCCATTGGCAACGGCAACGGATATGGAAACAGAAGGAAATGAAAATGAAGTGATAACGGGAAACGGCGGTTCCAGTTATCGTAGAACTCCTTTTTATAAGAAGTAAATATAATTAGATATTTATGCATTAATGTTTAGTTGAGCATTGCGTGACTCTCAAATTTGGCATCTTTGCTGAATTACCTAGAAGCACTTACACTGAATCGTATACCTTATAGTATTTATTTCCTGCAGCCATTCGAATAAACATGAAAAAAATATATCTACTCTGTATCTTTTCCATTGCACTTTGAAGGGAAATATGAAATAGAAAATAAATAAGCAGATATACATAAATAGATGTACATAACTGACCACGATGACGACCATGACATAACAAATAGAATATAGAAAGATAAGAACGTGGTAGAGAAATTACAGAAAAATGCAGACATGCTTCCTCATTCTTTACTGTCTCAAATCAGACATATATGTGTAAAAAAAAAAAAAAAAAAAAAAAAAAAAAAAAACATTCATATATGTATGTATGTATGTGTGTGTGTGTGTGTGTGTGTGTGTGTGTGTGTGTGTGTGTGTGTGTGTGTGTGTGTGTGTATATATATATACATATATATATATATATACATATATTAGTAGAAACTAAGAAACGTTAAGAACCTAACATCTGACGTTCCTGAAGGTACTGCATTCACGAGTTGGAATTGGCACTACAACATACCGCGGCTATTTTTTTTCCTTTTACACATTGCGATCTTGAGTTCATTAGATTAGATTCTGAAGTTCAAAGTTTGTTGAATGATGTAGACTTGGGTCGATGGCTGTGGAGAAAGGCCCGAGGATGATGATCTAAAGCACTGTAGTTTTCACATTAATTCATCCGTTTGAAACCCAGACAGCAAAGGCAACAGATGGAATTGTCGTTGGCGCAAATTCAGTGGCTAACTAAATGCCATCCTTGAGACCACCAATTTTCAGAGAATCCAATGCCATATGAGAATTCAACAGTACATGAAGAGATGAACTATGGCGATAGCCTACTTCACTGGTTCAGACGGCTCTAAACCTGAATTGTGACTCGGTGAATGCACCTCATTTCACACACATGCCTTGACCTCAGTGCCACACCTGCAAGAAATGGACAGTGTTCTTGAGAACCTCATTCTAGCCTGGATATACATATACATATATGTATATATATATATATATATATATATATATATATGTGTGTGTATGCATATATATATATATATATATATATATATATATATATATATATATATATGATACATCTCCATCTCTACATCTATACTTGTGTGTGTTCCAAATAGATGTCATGTAAGTATCCGTAGTAACGTCCTATACAGGACAGCATTTCATCTTCTTGGCCCATTTCTGCCATAAGTTTGTCACGCTTTTCCATCTAGTAGTGTTGTTCGCCATGTGTCTTTAACCTAAATTAGGCCTGAATAAGATGAACAATCATGCAGATTATTCATGTATCATGTTAAAAGATGTGTTTGAGCTTGCACCTGTCCCTTTGGTTATTGGCAGGGAGCGAAAGTGTAGCTCCAGTGACACCCATCGCAAACAACGACCCTTCTGCAAGATTTCATGGCAAGCCGATTCTTATGATTTCCTCCGTCAACCACTGCATGTAGAATTATCTTGATGTGATGTAGGTGATTCCTTTTTATCTGAATATCATGTACATCATCTTCAGTCTGTTGTGGCATATACATCACATTATACATACACAGACACTGTTACACATACCGTATCATCATGTTTTTTGTAATTTCAAGTTAATTCCTGACTATTAATATTGTTTCTTTTCTCAAGAAATGTTATCGTAAAAACTGAAATAACTCCATACATTTTGATAATTTTATGCAATTATAATACTTCGCATTATGTAAGAGTTTCCCTTTCTTCAATATGAATTTTAAAAAAATCCAGGTTTAAATTTGTTAATTTTAGTTAAAGTATAGATATAGATATAATACATGCCCACACACACAGTTACTGTATTAAACCGAATCAACACGTCATACATATATTATTCATAATTACATATACAAATTCATAGTACATATAAATCACATACACACGCAATTACTGCATTTATGCGTGATTACTGTGCCCGGTAGTGAAGAGATGTACCCATCTCTTGATTGTATCAGCGGTTGCTGGAAAAGTATCAAATATGAATATATGCTTATTTTCATTTCCAAATGATAATTAGATGAAGCATAGATAATCAATACTAGACTATACATGCATAGATACATCAGTGCTTGTCTTTATGTATGTCTTCCTTTTTTCTTGCATTTCTTCATTTGACGGTGAAATCTATGCTATCTTGCGATCCCAGTTCAGATCTTGCGTCATCAAGATCTACTCTTTCATCAGGATTACCGACTCTCTGCATTTTCCCGAGGGATCCGCTGGCGCTCACGAAGGTCAGTGGGAGGAGCTGTGCCTCGGTCAGCGGACATATAAGGCTGACTAACAACACTCCAGCAACAGTTCCCAGTCTTCGATACTAGATTCTTCTGAACAATGCATTCTCTCATTTTGTCTGGTGAGTGTAAACTTTATGAAATATCACTATGCCAACAAATCCAATCATGAGATTAATTGACATTTTTTAATTATTCATTTTACACTAGCTTATTATTATTTCCAATATGTTACTATAACAACACTATTATCAATGACAAAGAGTTGCTTTACTTTTTATTTTCGACAGCCGTTCTCTGCGTCGTTGTGGCTGACACTCACAATGGCTTCGGAGCGCACCCTCCTCCAAGCAACGGCTATGCGCCCCAAGTAACACTTATGGCACCCAACGGCGCCTACGGAGTAGACCCTGAGATCGCCGCTTTGGCCGAGAACATTCCAGGGGGCGGCGTCCCCGGCGAGGACTACCCCATCTTGGCTTCCGTGCCCGACACCGGATTCTCCTGCGATGCCCAGGCGGTGCAAGGTTATTACGCCGACACTGCAGCTGAAGCCGGCTGCCAGGTGTTCCATATCTGCCAGGACCGCGCCCTCAGGCGCCAACAGGACTCCTTCCTGTGCCCCAACGGTACCATCTTCAACCAGCAGTACCTGGTATGTGACTGGTGGTTCAACGTGGACTGTTCTCAAGCTGAGAGCTTCTACTCCGTCAACGAGCTCATCGGAGTCGTTCCCGACGCCGGTTATGCTTATGCTGCCGCCGCCAATGGTCTTGCCATTGGCAACGGCAACGGATATGGAAACAGAAGGAAATGAAATAAGTGAGAATGGAAACGGCGGTTCCCGTTATCGTAGAACTCCTTTTTATAAGAATGTTGTAAATATAATTAGATATTTATGCATTAATGTTTAGTTGAGCATTGCGTGACTCTCAAATTTGGCATCTTTGCTGAATTACCTAGAAGCACTTACACTGAATCGTATACCTTATAGTATTTATTTCCTGCAGTCATTCGAATAAACATGAAAAAAATATATTTACTCTGTATCTTTTCCATTGCACTTTCAAGGGAAATAGAAAATAAAAATAAATAAGCAGATATACATAAATAGATATACACAACGACCACGATGGCGACCATGACATAACAAATAGAATATAGAAGATAATAACGAGGTAGAAAAATTACAGAAAATGCAGACATGCTTCCTCATTCTTTACTGTCTCAAATCAGATTTATGTACATATAATTAATATATATATATATGTATATATATATATGTATATATATATATATAGTATATATATATATATATATATATAGTAGAAACTAAGAAACGTTAACCTAACATCTGACGTTCCTGAAGGCACTGCATTCACGAGTTGGAATTGGCACTACAACATACCGCGGCTATTTTTTTTCCTTCACACATTGCATTGCTTCTTATCGATCTTGAGTTCATTAGATTAGATTCTGAAGTTCAAAGTTTGTTGAATGATGTAGACTTGGGTCGATGGCTGTGGAGAAAGGCCCGAGGATGATGATCTAAAGCACTGTAGTTTTCACATTAATTCATCCGTTTGAAACCCAGACAGCAGAGGCAATAGATGGAATTGTCGTTGGCATAAATTCAGTGGCTAACTAAATGCCATCCTTGAGACCATCAATTTTCAGAGAATCCAATGCCATATGAGAGTTCAACAGTACATGAAGAGATGAACTATGGCGATAGCCTACTTCACTGGTTCAGACGGCTCTAAACCTGAATTGTGACTCGGTGAATGCACCTCATTTCACACACGTGCCTTGACCTCAGTGCCACACCTGGTGTGTGTGTGTGTTGTGGTGTTGTTAGATATATATATATTATATATATATATATATATATATATATATATATAATATATAATATATATATATATATATATATATATATATAATATATATATATATGTATATATATATATATATATTATATATATATATATATATATATAATATATATATATATATATTTGATACATCTCCATCTCTACATCTATACATGTGTGTGTTCCAAATAGATGTCATGTAAGTATCCGTAGTAACGTCCTATACAGGACAGCATTTCATTTCCTTGGCCCATTTCTGCCATAAGTTTGTCACGCTTTTCCATCTAGTAGTGTTGTTCGCCATGTGTCTTTAACCTAAATTAGGCCTGAATAAGATGAACAATCATGCAGATTATTCATGTATCATGTTAAAAGATGTGTTTGAGCTTGCACCTGTCCCTTTGGTTATTGGCAGGGGAGCGAAAGTGTAGCTCCAGTGACACCCATCGCAAACAACGACCCTTCTGCAAGATTTCATCGCAAGCCGATTCTTATGATTTCCTCCGTCAACCACTGCATGTAGAATTATCTTGATGATGATAAGGTGATTCCTTTTCATCTGAATATCATGTACATCATCTTCAGTCTGTTGTGGCATATACATCACATTATACATACACAGACACTGTTACACATACCGTATCATCATGTTTTTTGTAATTTCAAGTTAATTCCTGACTATTAATATTGTTTCTTTTCTCAAGAAATGTTATCGTAAAAACTGAAATAACTCCATACATTTTGATAATTCTATGCAATTATAATACTTCGCATTATGTAAGAGTTTCCCTTTCTTCAATATGAATTTTTAAAAAAATCCAGGTTTAAATTTGTTAATTTTAGTTAAAGTATAGATATAGATATAATACATGCCCACACACACAGTTACTGTATTAAGCCGAATCAACACGTCATACATATATATTTCATAATTACATATACAAATTCATAGTACATATAAATCACATACACACGCAATTGCTGCATTCATGCGTGCCTACTGTGCCCGGTAGTGAAGAGATGTACCCATCTCTTGATTGTATCAGCGGTTGCCGGAAAAGTATCAAATATGAATATATGCTTATTTTCATTTCCAAATGATAATTAGATAAAGCATAGATAATCAATACTAGACTATACATGTATAGATACATCAGTGCTTGTCTTTATGTATGTCTTTCTTTTTTCTTGCATTTCTTCATTTGACGGTGAAATCTAAGCTAACTTGCGATCCCAGTTCAGATCTTGCGTCATCAAGATCTACTCTTTCATCAGGATTACCGACTCTCTGCTTTTTCCCGAGGGATCCGCTGGCGCTCACGAAGGTCAGTGGGAGGAGCTGTGCCTCGGTCAGCGGACATATAAGGCTGACTAACAACACTCCAGCAACAGTTCCCAGTCTCTCGATACTAGATTCTTCTGAACAATGCATTCTCTTGTCTTCTCTGGTGAGTGTCAACATTTTGAAATATCAATATGCCAACAAATCCAATCATCGCATATGTCTGTCCTTACTATAATTAAGCCTGTCATATATCAGACATTATTATTTCACCTATTATTTTCAACATATTAGTCACTCTTCGTTTTCACTAATGTAATTTTTGTTATCATAATAATACCATCATCATTAACGAATAAGTTATTAACTTTTTGTTTTCAACAGCTGTTATCTGCATCGTCGCGGCGGACGGCTTCGGAGCGCACCCTCCTCCAAGCAACGGCTATGCGCCCCCAAGTAACACCTATGGCACGCCCAACGGCGCCTACGGAGTAGACCCTGAGATCGCCGCTTTGGCCGAGAACATTCCAGGGGGCGGCGTCCCCGGCGAGGACTACCCCATCTTGGCTTCCGTGCCCGACACCGGCTTCTCCTGCGATGCCCAGGCGGTGCAAGGTTATTACGCCGACACTGCAGCTGAAGCCGGCTGCCAGGTGTTCCATATCTGCCAGGACCGCGCCCTCAGGCGCCAACAGGACTCCTTCCTGTGCCCCAACGGTACCATCTTCAACCAGCAGTACCTGGTATGTGACTGGTGGTTCAACGTGGACTGTTCTCAAGCTGAGAGCTTCTACTCCGTCAACGAGCTCATCGGAGTCGTTCCCAATGCTGGCTATGCTTATGCTGCCGCCACCAATGGTCTTGCCATTGGCAATGGCAACGGTTATGGAAATCGGAAATGAATAGCGATAGAAACGGCAGCTTCTTTTAGCAAATTTTGCAATGGCAGGTGCGTATAGTTACATGATAATTTGCTTAACAGATTAAGCAAATTTACGACATATGTTTAATTTGTATCATATGTTATATTTATTCTTAATATCTATTCGCGAAATAAAATGAAAACTTACTATTGCGTTTTAAGTCTACAAATGTCTTGGCGAGATTTATGACATGAACATTGCCGTTACCCTTATTTTCTCGTGAACCCCGTAAAGTCGCACCATTTACTAAACTTAGCATCAGCATCCATAACGCCCGTTATAACCACACTTCTGATGGCTGCCTCTTCATAAAGTTGCAGGATTTCGAAGAGAAGAAAAGTACTTCATTCTAAAACCGTTTGATATAATGCTAATAAATGGTTATACTGACCCGCCAAATTGCTCTCCAAACTTTTTCGCACTGGTTATCGTATTTCTTACCCTCGCTTATAGTATTTTTTTTTATTATTATTATTATTATTCAGTCAGATTATTTTAGACAAGTGTGATGTACAATTGAGCATAGATACATGTATATTTATTGACAGTATGTACATCCGCGTGCACACCTGTGTATTCAGTGGAGATGGAGCGGTCTATTCCACCATTTGATACATTTTCGTTGGCGTACATGGGAACCGGTTTCCACTAAATGTGCGAAAACTGTATTTCCTAATGCTAACGGAGGACAAGAGTAACAACAGATAGGTAGAAACGACTTGTACTGTGAGTCTTAAGAGCTCTCTGATAAACCACTGTACGGTTGGCTTTGCATAAAAAAAAAAAAAAAAAAAAAAAAAAAATACTTACACATTTGTTTTAAGACTTCAACGATGAAAAACGGCATCGAATTAGTCGTATCATCATAATTGACATTATTACCATTATCCCTGCCAAAACTATCTTTGTTTCGATAATACACGCTTTTCATTCACCTTTTACACAACAAAGAAAATATCTATATAACCTGAGATGCACTAGGGAGTTATAAGACTCGAAATTTTATACTTATTTAATTTTTCCTTTCTTTTTACTGTACTTCGTTTCTTTTTCTTTCTTTCTTTCTTTATGCATCTTTGTGTGTATGTACGCTCAGAGAGAACTTTATAAACATACACTTTAGATTACATACATATACATACATATATAAACGCACATATATTTAGGTATATGTATATATACATGTAAATATATATACATATATATACATATATACATACGTATAAAACTGTGTGTGTGTGTGAAGAAAGTGTGAGATAGAGAGAAAGAGAGAGAGAGAGAGAGAGAGGAGATACAGTATATATATATATATATATATATATATATATATATATATATAACATACGTGTGTGTGTGTTTATTTATACATACATGTACACAAAAAGGCAAAGAAGAGTACACACACATGCGTTAGCAAACACGTATACATGCATATTAAAAAAAAAAAAAAAAAAAAAAAAAAAAATATATATATATATATATATATATATATATATATATGTATATATATATGTGTGTGTGTGTGTGTGTGTGTGTGTGTGTGTGTGTGTGTGTGTGTGTGTGTGTTGTGTGTGTTGTGTGTGTGCATATGTATACAGATATATATCACATACATATATATACATACATTGCCAGCCTTATATAATAAATACAGACATAATATATCAATCATTCATTAGCTAAGTAAATAAAGAAGATCTGATGTTGTGACTTACCTTCTTAACGAAGTTTCAGGAGAACCGACCGGACGTTCATTACTAAATAACCGGCATTGGGACAAGATTCAGTGAGCTGTTATGAGCAAGGAATTTTTGTATCGAGCAAATTCGTCTTGCTTCAGGAAATTATTGTCATTTATACCTTCCTTGTATTTTTGTAGTATATATATATATATATATTATATATATATATATATATATATATATATATTTATATATAATTTTGACATTTTTTGCAACGTTGGTCTCTAATCTTGACAAATTTCCTTTAATAGAAAATAAATGTCGATTCTATGGAAAAACAGAAAGCAGGGTTAATTCCATGGAAATTGTGCATGAGTTGCATTTTTCCAGCTTACCATTTCAGATATCAATACCTGGTGGTATTGCTGCAGGGCCCATAAAACCTCTAGTCGATGGAAGGAGCTAAAGACATTTTTTTTCGAGAATGTTATATGATATAAATACAATAGAAGTAACTTTCTATACTATAATCATTAGATTAATCCAATAGTGTCATATATAAAATTCAGACACAGCAGAAGTACAAAGTAGATCCGGTATTATTGCCTAATGAGAACTTCGAGCAATTGCTACCTGAAATGAATAACTTTTAAGACCTATTTACAGTATTCCTGCTGTAGTTATTTAGAGAGGAGCTTCATAAGTTGCGAAACAGCTATCACCCTTCTGACGTTCATATCTACCATATCATTTCCTTCTGTTGCCATACCCGTTGCCGTTGCCAATGGCAAGACCATTGGCGGCGGCAGCATAAGCATAACCGGCGCCGGGAACGACTCCGATGAGCTCGTTGACGGAGTAGAAGCTCTCAGCTTGAGAACAGTCCACGTTGAACCACCAGTCACATACCAGGTACTGCTGGTTGAAGATGGTACCGTTGGGGCACAGGAAGGAGTCCTGTTGGCGCCTGAGGGCGCGGTCCTGGCAGATATGGAACACCTGGCAGCCGGCTTCAGCTGCAGTGTCGGCGTAATAACCTTGCACCGCCTGGGCATCGCAGGAGAAGCCGGTGTCGGGCACGGAAGCCAAGATGGGGTAGTCCTCGCCGGGGACGCCGCCCCCTGGAATGTTCTCGGCCAAAGCGGCGATCTCAGGGTCTACTCCGTAGGCGCCGTTTGGCGTGCCATAGGTGTTGCTTGGGGGCGCATAGCCGTTGGTGGGAGGACGAGTCGCTCCGAAGCCATTGTGAGTGTCTGCCACAACGACGCAGAGAAGAGCTGTAGAAAACAAGAAAAACAAATTGATAATTCATCATTATTGGTACTCGTAGTGATGAAATCTTTTGCATATGAAAGATCCAATTCATAATCCATACTTGCCAGAAAAGATCAGGGAATTCATGGTTCAAAATATTCGAATCTTGAGACTGAAAACTGATTGTGAATGATCATTGACGTCTAGCCTTATATATTCGTTGGCTGGGTCACAGCTCCTCCCACAGACCTTCATTTCATTCTTTCTTTTTTGTATCCTGTGGTATGCAACATACACTGATGAAAAAGTGGATCTTCGGTGTTTGTTCTGCGGTCGCAGTTTGGTAATATATGCTGCAGAATTCAGAAAAGAAATTTTGAAAAGTTTTGAAGAAAAAAAAAAAAAACTGAATAGATTGAAATAGTAATATATATATATATATATATATATATATATATATATATATATATATATATATATATATATATATATATATATATATATATGGTATGTGTCTGTGTATATATATCATAGAATTATTTCTGTTTACTGTTTCAGTTCATTCTTATCCACAAAACAAAAATGCAGTTCTTCGTACTAATCTATTTTAACTAGTTACTGCCAAAGCAATGACAAAAACTGATATAATTATGTGTGTCTGTGTATGTTTGTGTGTATGTATATATATGGGTGTTTGAGTGCGCGTTTTGTGTATGTGCTTCATGTACTTGTATGTGTTTGTTTTTGCATGATTTTGTATGTGTTTGAGTGTGTGTGTATGTGAGTATGAGTGTACGGTTGCGTATGCCTGTGTATGAAAAAGTGTGTAATTTTTTTGTACGTCCCTAGGTGTTTATGTGCATGTGATATATATATATATATATATATATATATATATATATATATATATATATATATATATATATATATATATATATATATATATATATGTGTGTGTGTGTGTGTGTGTGTGTGTGTGTGTGTGTTGTGTGTGTGTGTGTGTGTGTGTGTGTGTGTATTGGACTGTATTGATTCATGGACATATAAATTAAGTATTTGAGTCCTGACTGTCAAATGACTAAAGTCTACACAAATGATTATATGATATCCAACAGACCATTCGATTTACAGATATTATTATAATGTGTGTGTGTACATATGTGTGCGTGTGTGTGTGTGTGTGCGTGCGTGCGTCCGTGTGTGTGTGTGTCTGTACACACACACACACACATATATATATATATATATATATATATATATATATGTGTGTGTGTGTGTGTGTGTGTGTGTGTGTGTGTGTGTGTGTGTGTGTGTGTGTGTGTGTGTGTGTGTGTGTGTGTGTGTGTGTGTGTGTGTGTAAATTGTATTCTATACGCGTTTTGTATTGCTCAAACAAGTACGCATATACATACGAACACACACACATCTTTGTTTTATATACATATATACATATATACATATATTTACATACATGTATGCATATATATATTCATATATATACATATATGTATATATGTGTGTTTGTGTATACATTCATATTTCATATATTATGTATATATATATATATATATATATATATATATATATATGTATATATATATATATATATATATATAATATATACACACACACACACATACATATATTCATTCATATCTATATTTGTTATATATATATATATATTATATATATATATATATATATATATATATATATATATATATATATAATATTTAATCATATCTATATAGATGCCATATACATCATATAGGTGTGTATGCGCATATATACATATATATATATATATATATATATATATATATATATATATATATATATATATATATATTATACGCGTATATCTAAAATGTATGTAGATATGTAAGTGTGTGTATAAATATACATTCAGACAAGAACGGGGCTTTCGAGAATACTATCGATTTGTTGCAAATAGAACACTGAGGTTAAAGTATGCGTGTGAAATTAGGTGCATTCACTTAATTTAGGTTTAAAGTATGGAACAATAAAGTAGGTTCTCACCATATTCTATATCTTTAGGTACTATAGAGCTGTTGAATTATATTACACTCTCCAAAATTTTGCTGTCTGAAGAATGGTTTGGTCGGCCACTGAATCAACGCAACGGCAGTTCCAAATATTATCTCTACTACATAAATTTCACATTGACAAATTAATGTACAGTGCTCGCCAAGTTCATTTTGAGGCTTTTCGTCACACGCGTGTAACTAAATATACAATATTCAATAAACTTTGATCAAGACCTGATTCGGTGCAAAGATTAGTAGCAAGTAAATACAGTCTATAAATAAAAATGTATTTGTCTCTGGTATGTAGCAATGTCTCAGTAACAGAGACGACATCTGAAACTGTTGCGTATCAATGCCAATATTGTAACTCTTAAATGCAACACTTTTAGTTGCGGGAAATGTTATATACTTCAGCGTCGTTTTTCTTCTTCTTCTTCTTCTTTCTTTCTTTCTTTCTTTTTTACCAATAAAAATGGTAAAGACCATTTCATGGCACGTCGATTTCCCCTTACAGTGCAATAGTAAGGATGTAATGTAAATGTGTTTTTTTATGTTTATTCGAATGACTGTAGGGTATTAATACTGTAAGGTATACGATTCAAGCGGAGCAGTTGCTTCTAGGTAATCCAGCAAAGTCAGGCAGTAATCAATTAAACATTAATGCATAAATATCTAGATATATTTACAATAATACTGAAGGAATTCCATAAAAGCTGGAGGGCGCTGTGAGCCATTCTTACTTCCATTTCATTTCCTTCTGTTTCCATAACCGTTGCCGTTGCCAATGGCAAGACCATTGGCGGCGGCAGCATAAGCATAACCGGCGTCGGGAACGACTCCGATGAGCTCGTTGACGGAGTAGAAGCTCTCAGCTTGAGAACAGTCCACGTTGAACCACCAGTCACATACCAGGTACTGCTGGTTGAAGATGGTACCGTTGGGGCACAGGAAGGAGTCCTGTTGGCGCCTGAGGGCGCGGTCCTGGCAGATATGGAACACCTGGCAGCCGGCTTCAGCTGCAGTGTCGGCGTAATAACCTTGCACCGCCTGGGCATCGCAGGAGAATCCGGTGTCGGGCACGGAAGCCAAGATGGGGTAGTCCTCGCCGGGGACGCCGCCCCCTGGAATGTTCTCGGCCAAAGCGGCAATCTCAGGGTCTACTCCGTAGCCGCCGTTGGGCGTGCCATATGTGTTACTTGGGGGCGCATAACCGTTGCTTGGAGGAGGGTGCGCTCCGAAGCCATTGTGAGTATCCGCTACGACAACGCAAATAAAAGCTGTCGAAAACAAGAACATATATTGGATTTATTATTTGTAATTATAGTAATTAAATGTTTTGCATATGAAAGATCTTATTTCACACTAACCAGAAAAGATCAGAGAATTCATGGTTCAAAACAATCGGATCCTGAAAGACTGAAAACTGACGGTGAAGGAGTGAAGTCCAACCTTATATATTTACTGGCTGAGTCACAGCTCCTCCCACAGACCTTCATATTTCTGTACCCTGGAGTATGCAGAATGTTATTATACTGATGAAATAGTGGATCTTCGTCGTCAGGTCTGCGGTCGCAATTTAAAGATGATTGCACACCAGAATTCAGAAAAAAATATTTTAAAATTGTTTTGAAAACATTCTTCAAAAAAATAATTAATAATTTGAGTGGCATATATGCATATATCTATTAAAATAAAATTATCACTATTCACCAATTTAATTCATTAACAAACCAAAAGTGTAGTTGTTAGTAGAATACTGATCTATTATTCTTTTTTTAAAGCTTGATACGGCCAGATGTTACATATCTGGTTGGTTACATGTCTGTATCCACTTGTGTGTATTTCTGTGCACGTCTGTGTGTCTATCTATGCATATCTATTTGTATGTTTGTGTACGCATGGATTCGTATGCGTATGTTTGTGCATGTGCCTATATGCGTGAGTATGCGTGTGTTTGTGTGACGGTGTGTGTATCATATATTTAATAACTGAACATTTTCCGTCACGCAATTATCTAGGGTCATTAGCGACGTGTTCAAAATATAGCGATAGGGTGGGCCTTGGAGGCGAAACCCCCGAGTAAGGATTTGTGTGTGTGTGTGTGTGTGTGTGTGTGTGTGTGTGTGTGTGTGTGTGTGTGTGTGTGTGTGTGTGTGTGTGTTCATAAAACGATATTTGTGGATTCCCTGAATGGCTAATGGGCAAAACCAATAAAGGTGCCAATAAAAGGCCATACAGCACTATGATAAAGTGCTGTGACAAAAAGGTTCAAACTTAGTTAATGATTAAGACAAAATGCCTTTGATGCCATAGGTTGTAGAGCACTGTAGCTTAGATAATAGTGAAAAGAGTAAAGAGGGAAGAGCAAACGGAGTATGAAGAAAACCCCTTGCAAAATTAGCTGAGGCGAGGGCTGAGGGCCAAGGTGGGGGTGAATGTGCATGTGGTGTGTATGCGTTCCAGTCGGTTCTCCTGAAGGTCCGCTGTGAAGAGCTACAGCACTGGAATTTTGTTATTTATTTAGCCAATTAAAGGCGATTAATACATTATAGACCAATATTTATCATACAGGGATTAGTCACTGACATAGATATACATATGTGTGTGTATGTGTGTATCCCTCTCTCGCTCTTTATATATACCTATATATACATATACATACATACATATATATATATATATATATATATATATATATATATATATATATATATATGTGTGTGTGTGTGTGTGTGTGTGTGTGTGTGTGTGTGTGTGTGTGTGTGTGTGTGTGTATGTGTGTGTGTGTGTGTGTGTGTACGCATGCGTGTACACACACACACACACACACACACAAACACACACATATATGTATATACAGAGAGAGATGCGTACGTAAATGCGCGTGCACACGCATACTCTCTTTATCTATCTATCTATCTATCTATATGAATATATATATCTGTGTGTGTGTGTATATACATATAATACATATATATGTATGTGTGTGTGCAAACGCATACATTTACACAAATATGTATATGTCTATAAGCGCGTGCGTGTGTGTGTGTGTCTATACATATTTATGTATATATGTATGTATGTGTGTGTGTACATATGTTTATATATGCATATATCTACATACACACATATATATGTGTGTATACACATATATATGCAGATATAATGTAAAGTACATATGTATTCCACTTCCACTAAACATACACATGTATTCAAGAGGACAAATTAAAATCAATTAACAAGTCATTGAAGACAAGAACAAAAAAAAAAAAAAAAAAAAAAAAAAAAAAAAAAAAAAACGTATACTGCAAATTCAAATAAACTAAATGCAAGATATATGGTTCTCTCATCTCCGGTTATATTTAGATACTTCCTTTGTGTAGATGAGTGAGAAGTGTCTGTTATCGGGCCATAAGTAGCATTGGCAGGAATAATGATAATGTCATCAGTTATGATGATACTACTACTACTAGGTTTAGGATTTTCTTTCCTTAGTCATTTTAGTTTGGTCTTTGAAGCTGGTGGGGATGTAAGATTCATGGAACTCTTCATTAATAACCTTTTGGGCAAAGCCACTCAACCATACAGTGCCTAACAGTGGGTGCTTCAGATTACAGCACAGGCTTGTGACTCACAGTATCCATCTTATCGTCCGTGGTAAACATATGTATGGAGATGGTTCCCTGTGTGCGCCGACGAAAAAGCAGCGTGATAGCAGTCACAGAGCCCCCCCCCCCCCTCATGCACACTCACGCGTAAGAGTGCACATACATACACTATGAAATGTTATGCATGTGCATATATGTACTTTCACACATAAAAAAAAAGTCGAGCGGGTGTGTCATACGATACCTAAAAAAAGCTGAAAACATAAAAGTTTTTAAAAAAATAACCGTTTGGCGAATCACCATAACCATAGAGTAGTATTTCTTTTCTTTTTAACCTGCAAGCTCATGGACAGCAAGCCTTGCACAGCGTGGCTATAACGGCGAGTTTGGTAATTGAGGCTCATGTCGCCGCTCATGCGGAGATAAGGATATTAGTTATCGTATTCACAGGCAAAAAAAAAAAAAAAAAAAAAAAAAAAAAAAAAAATTATGCTATGAAAATTTTCAAAGCCTTTTGTTTAAGAAGTCAATTTCAATAACCACTCGCTCATATTCATGCTCTACCTTCCCTCTGTGTAGGTATAAGTAAGGCGTAAACAGCACATTTCTTCGAAGTTTGCATTTTATTTCCTGAATAAATATAGAGAATAAATATAACACATGATACAAAGCAGACATATGGAGCAATTATGCTCAATTTGCGAAGTAAGAAATTATGACACCAGTCGATTGATCCTGAAAGGATTATCATCTAACCATATTTACAATGCCAGTTGCCGTTTCTCTCATTACTCATTTCCTGTTGCCATACCCGTTCATTTCATTTCCTTCTGTTTCCATACCCGTTGCCGTTGCCAATGGCAAGACCATTGGCGGCGGCAGCATAAGCATAACCGGCGTCGGGAACGACTCCGATGAGCTCGTTGACGGAGTAGAAGCTCTCAGCTTGAGAACAGTCCACGTTGAACCACCAGTCACATACCAGGTACTGCTGGTTGAAGATGGTACCGTTGGGGCACAGGAAGGAGTCCTGTTGGCGCCTGAGGGCGCGGTCCTGGCAGATATGGAACACCTGGCAGCCGGCTTCAGCTGCAGTGTCGGCGTAATAACCTTGCACCGCCTGGTCATCGCAGGAGAATCCGGTGTCGGGCACGGAAGCCAAGATGGGGTAGTCCTCGCCGGGGACGCCGCCCCCTGGAATGTTCTCGGCCAAAGCGGCGATCTCAGGGTCTACTCCGTAGCCGCCATTGGGCGTGCCATATGTGTTACTTGGAGGCGCATGGTGGGAGGAGGGTGCGCTCCGAAGCCATTGTGAGTGTCAGCCACAACGACGCAGAGAACGGCTGTCGAAAATAAAAAGTAAAGCAACTTTTGGCCATAGATAATAGTGTTGTTATAGCAACATATTGGAAACAATAATAAATCTGGTGAAAAATGAATAATGATAAAAATGTCAATTAATCTCATGATTGGATTTGTTGGCACAGTGATAGGAATTCATAATGTTTACACTCACTAGACAAAATGAGAGAATACATTGTTCAGAAGAATCTAGTATCGAGAGACTGGGAACTGTTGCTGGAGTGTTGTTAGTCAGCCTTATATGTCCGCTGACCGAGGCACAGCTCCTCCCACTGACCTTCGTGAGTGCCTGCGGATCACTCGGGAAAAAGCAGCGTCGGTAGTCCTGATGAAAGAGTAGATCTTGACGCAAGATCTGAAATGGCATCGCAAGTTAGCTTAGATTTCACCGTCAAATAGAGAAATGCCAGAGAAAAGGAAATAAATCAATAAAAGGAGGCATTGATGTATCTACATATGTATTGTCAAGTATTGATTATTATCTATTTATTCTTTAATCATTACTTTAAGATAGAAATGCGCACAAACGCACACACGCACACATGTGTGTGTGTGTGTATACATATACACATTTATATGTGTGTATATGTGTGTGTATATGCATATACACACATTTATACATGTATATATATATGTGTGTGTGTGTACATATACACACATTTATACATACATATATACATGTGTACATATCTATATATATGCACATATATACATATATAGTATATACATATATGCATACCATATAGAGGTGGCATAGCTCAGTGGTCCTGGGATCGCGCCCGGCTCGACGCAGCCTCTGGTATGCCTCAGCATGCTGGGTCAGAGTTTACCGCATCATCCCGCGGCTTAGTAAGTATGTTTCTCTACAAGCATGTCCCCTGCGTCCACATGGATATGGGACCAACTTTGACTTGACATACAATACATATAGATAGATAGATAGATAGATATATTAGAGTATATGTATACTGGTTATCAAAACTTTATGGAGTAATTTTACTTCGTATAATAACACTTCTTCACGTCTCCGGAACAGATATAATTTAAATAGGAATTACCTTGAGATTCCAAAGACATTAAAAAAAAATCCTATATTCTCTTGTTGCTGAAACAGTATGTGTTAAAATAGATGTGTATGTCTAAGGTGATTATGTAATGTCACACACGATTTAAGATGATATATGTTAAGTTCAGATAAAATAGGAATCAACTTGATCATATCAAAATACTCCTATATTCTCTTTTTGCTGGAACCAATCATGAACATATTCTCTGTGCAATGGGAAATGCGCAGTTTGCAGACACTTTAGAAAAGGCCGTTGTTTTGGACAGGAATTAGTGGAGCTACACCCGTCGCTTGCTAATGACCAAAGTGATTAGTGCATGCTAGCCTTTGTTAGCATGTTAGGTGAGTAATTACAGGACTGTTAATCC